AATATTTTCTAAATACATAGTTTATTCTACAGTGTACACTATAGTCTACTAATCTATAGTCTTGAAATATTTAATAAAGATGAGTATTTATTTTATCATTAAACATAATGCAATGACATTTTCAATTATCATAACATAAACTTTATTTAGAATTTAAAGAAAAATAGTATCACATAAAATACAGAAACACATATATTAGTAATTTCTACACTAAAAATATACTTAATCACAACACTACCATACTACTCTTTCTCAATTATGCACTGTGATCACAAATTTTAATATTAGGAGCGCAATTAACTGTGTTAATGTCTTGTCTCCTTGTCTTTAATATCTGTCTTTTGTGAATATTCTATTCTTTTAAATTATTATTTTATTTAAGATAATTTAATTTTAAAATATTATAGATATTTATTAATTTTACTATTTAATTTAATTCCACAAAATATAGATATATGTATTAAAAAATAAATATACTAAACAATGTATTTTACATTCATATTGATTGAATAATATACAAAATGAAAGCTTAAAATGATTTAGAAAAATATTTAAGAATTCTTAATCAAAATTAAAATAATAAAGTTGAATTCAAAATTATAATAATTTAATTTAAAAATTAATATTAATAGAGAATACTAATAACACACTTTTTTTAATATACTTCTAATTATCACTAAAATTTATTAAAACTTTAAAAAATTACATGGAACTTTTTTAAAATTAATATTTTTCTTTTGATTTTTTAATATATTTCTAAATATTGACTAAAATTTATAAAAAAATTATTAAATTGATGATAATATTGTAAATATTCTTTTTATATAACAAATTAGTTCTCTTAATGAATATTAAATATTATCACAATTTATTTTAATTGATTATAAAAAACTATAATTTAGTAACAGAGTATCGTTAATTAAAAAATAAAGTATGTGTTGAAAATAAATGGATTAAAAATAGAAAGAATTAAAAACGAATGAAAATAAGGTTAGAATAAGATATAAATTTTAAAATTTCAATTTGATGATGTGATATAATAGACATTAGAATATAAATATATATGCTGTGTGCTTTGTAGATTGCTTTGCTTTGTCATCTTTATTAATGGCGCGTTCTTTTCAATTGAATCACAATGCACAAAGATCCCACTTAAAAGTTTTTGGTCAATTTGTTTCAATGAAACTTTATATAATCTTGGCAAGCCACGAGCACCACGATATCTACAATGCCACACTACTTTTGGCTATGGAATCTTTAGTTTTGGCTTTCGAAATTGTAATGTGAAAGGGAATATTTACAATAATTTTCTTTGCAAGCTTTGAAGGAATATATACATTCTTATGTTAGCTCAGACTGTACCTAATATTTATATTACACGTGATGTGTATGAATGAATTATTGATCAAATGTTTGACTCACCTCAGTGGTCTTAATTTCAATTATAAGTTAGCTGAAGCTTTGATTGAAAGCTTGTGACATGTTAATTTTATATATAATATAGTTTGCTAGATGCTTATGCAGTAGGTATAATAATTTTGAGCAACCAAATTAAGTCGCCCATGTTTTTAATGTAATGTTTGATTTGAATAAAACAAAGACAAAGAGAGAGGAATAGAAATTTATAAAAGAAAACTTGTTAGATTAAAAAATATAGAGGGTAGAGAAGGAAAAATAGAGGAACAAATATTTCTCCCTTCCCATATTTTTTTTCCTTTCATTATTTAGGAAATTTAGAGAAGAGGAAAAATATTAATTATATAGTTAGATTCAAGTTGGGAAAGGATTTCAATAGAAGAGAAAAAAGAGAATATAAAGTTTTCTTGTCTAGTTTGATTTAAAGAACATGATAATTTCTTTATAATTATTAACATTTACAGTATCAATGTATTGAATTGTAGAATTTTTAATAAAAACTTATTAAATACAACTTTTTGTCCATATAATATTATTGTATATGTTAAAAAATATTTATGATATATATATATATATATATATATATATAACTTTTTTTAAATTTTGATAAATTAGTTAATTCACTTTTTTCACAGAAAAAAGAACAGAAGAAATAGTTTATTGACTTGAAGAATTTATTTTTTTACGACTTAATGAGTAGATTAAATTTTTTATGTTACTGAACCTGAGATTGATTGATGACAAAAATTAGCAATTAATAGAGAAGAATGAACAAAGAAAGTTTTAGAAATAGAATAATGCTAATTATTGACAAATTTATTAAAAAATAAAAAAATATGTAAAATTTATTATTTTTTATTCTTAAATTAATGTTTTTTTCTGATACTTTTTAATTTTTAATAAATTTTAACTAAATAATAAGTATGTTAGAGAGAGTATTGTTAATATTTTTCTTTAAAATAAAAGGTATCTTGAATTTACCATCAAGGGATGGTGTCACTTATCATGTACATAAATTCATCACATTTTTATTATTTTCCCACCTGCACATTTTTTTAAGATAACAAAATTATTCTTTCATAAATCCTCTAATAAAAAAATTATAATATATTAATGCTTCAATACATAATTATTATGCAGCATCATATTAAAAGACAATAAAAACTAATAAGAATTAAAAAACAAGCTCTTTAGCTATGGTGGAATCATTCAAATTCTCTAACTTTTTCTATTTCCTTGAATACTTTTTTACCACAAGCACAAGCCTCCAGCATCACGCAAATCTGGCTAAAGGGAAATACCACCAACCACATGTTTCAAGCCTTTTCCTTCTATCTATATATACAGAATATCAAATTAATAATTTTTATAGTAAACTAAAAAATATTATTTTTAACTAATATTCTATTTTCATTAAAAATAATATTAAGATTGATAATCATTAGTTAATGAATAATAATTCAATATACTCCTGAATCTACTATAACTTTTTCTTTTACAAATTAGGTCTCTTTTTTTTTATTATAATAAGATGCTCCCTTCATCATCTAAAACAAGACCTCTTATATTAATTAGCTTTTGTAAAAGAAAATCATCTAGCTCGCTTAATTCTTACATTAATGATATCATTGGTGGATATGAGAGAGTATAAAATATTATGATATTTAAATTAAATAAAATAAGATAAAATTTTATTGTATGATTGATGCATATTAAAACAACAAGTTAGATATATCATGTTATTTTATATATTAAAATCATTTTCACAGATGAAATTTACACTAAAGAAAAATAAAACAAGCTCATTAGATATACTTATATTAAGCTGCCTTGAGGTACACTACATTGTGATGAACTTTACAATGCCTTGTTACTACAATTTATTAAAAAATATATATATAACTATTTCTAAACCAAAGGACAGCGTTTTACACGCTGATTACATCTTTGTATTTGAAAAATTTATATAGAGAACAAGTCATTCTTACGTGTGAAAGGAATTGTATGCAAATTCTCTTACTAAGCTTTGAAGAGAATATAAAAGTTCTGCTGACAATATTATTATATTTACTCGTGCAAATACACCCAATACAAATATATACAATAGATGAATAATTTCAACATTTATCTATTGAAGTTGGTGTTGGCTTATCAATTTTCCACTTGATCTGGTTTAGTGTAGTACATTTCTTTATACTTGCCATGTGTTGTTTGTGCACCATTTTTATGGCATTTTAAATAATTTCATCAATATAAGAAACATATACGTTTAATCCATCAATGAAGCGGCGTGTCGTTGCAAAACTAAGTCCACGTAAAGATACTTTTTCTTTATTTATTTAGTTAACTTATTTCATTGATAAATACAAGGAAGGTTATTGTATTTTACACTTTAAAGTTTAAGGTTCATGGATAGACTCTAATCCACATGTTTGAGAATTTTGATTTGATAAGTATTTAGCTCATTAAACTTTTGAGTCCTAATACACATGGATAAGATTAGAGTTATGTTAAATGGGAATACTATTTAGTCTCAATCGGAAATAGAGAAGAGATATAACTTGAAAATGGCTATGGAGTCACACAAGGAGAATTAGGGAAAAACAGTTTATAAGTTGTCTTTCGAGATCATAATAAATATGTTATTAATTTCTTCAAAAATAGTAATGCCTACTTATTACATAATTTGGTAATTCAACATTTTAAAATAATGTGGGGACCAAAGGGAAGATTTTAAAACTTTAGAAACTAAATGCCATGACACTTACAAGTTGAAGGACTATTTTAGAGGTTTACTTATTTTAAAAATTCTTTCACCCTCAATCTTCATCATGTGCAAATGAAGTTAAAATGTTTCATGTAGTACCTACTTGTGCATGTTTCACTTGCCAGGAATTGAACAAAAGATTCACAAAATCAAGAGCACAAAAATGTAAAATTTTAAAGCTTGCTGTTTCTAGTTTGGCAATATACAACTAAAAGATGTGATAGAATTTGGACCTTCATAAGAAGTATCTTTGCTCCAACATGTTTGTTATTCAACTTAAAAGGTATAGAAAGAAAAACGCCCAATAAATGAATACTCTTACTCTAACGAGTTTAGCAAGCCCAATAGTAGGAGCACTATTAATTAAGCCCAAAACTAATGATATGAGAAGAAAGCACTGAGGAAGCACAAAAACAGAAATGGGAATAAAACGACATTTTTTTTTATTATTTCACTTATTGTTATTAAGATTGAAAATAGGTTAAATTATTTATTAGAAATTTATCACTTACTACTCTCTCTTTTTTTATTATTAAATGGAGATAAAAGCCCAACAAAAAGAATTAATAACCTACCATTTTGATGAAGACTATTCCATAAGTATCTTCACATTAACAAAAGAAAGGATAGAGAATGATTTACATCTATTATTTTCCAAGTGTGCCATATTTGATAATAAGTCAACATACATGCTAATTTTTTTAAATATTTGATAAACACTAATGATATTATTGAAGCCCAATTTTAATTACCAACTTTTGTTTAACTCTACAATAACTAAAATCTATATATTATGTTAATAAATTAGGTACATACTACTCTATCTCATACTTCATAGAGTTTTGGTCAAATCAGGTTCCTATCCAAATAGAAATTTCAAGTTGAACGAAAGTCATACAAATCCAAATCCCGCGCCCTGAAATTCTTCACAAAATTACAAGTTTTAATCATAGTTTTGAGTTTTCACAAGTGAAGTGAAAGATCCAAGTTACGATTCCGAAGAAGCAAGCTTGTTTTCTCTGGAGTGGTGAAAAAAGGGGCATGGACGAAGATCAAATAGAAGGTTGTGTTAGTGGGTACCTAAAGGACAAAGGGTTTACGCAAAAGGATCAACTCTCCAACACCGATTCCTCTCTTCAACCTCACACTCTCAATCGCACTCAGTATCTTCTCTTTTCCCTCTTTTTTTTTTATCTTATTTTAATTTTGTTACATTTTTGTTTTCCAATTTCGCTAATTTATAACGACCTAGGATCTCGGAGTCGCTGGGTGACTTCGTTTAAACTCTTTCGCCTCTGAAAATTATGTATTAATAATAATTAAAAAAAAAATAGCACAGTGTTTGTGTAATTCGTGAAAATATGAAGCTATTGTTAGTTATAAGAGAAAACTTAAAATTTTTGGTTGCTTTTATTTTATATAGAGTTTAATTTTAATGAACTGTCAGTGTAAATCTATTAAATTAATTACACACGCGCACGCGGGTAATTTTAATGTGTGCCGTCAATGAATATTAAGTTTTATTTGAAATTATAACATTTAATGTTATCAATGTATTTGATTTTGTGATTTCTAATCATTTAGGCCTAGTTTGGAAAATTTCTATCCTGTTGACGAGTTTATCTAAACTAACTGTTAGTCAGTATTTTATAGAGAATTGAATGTAGTCACACTTAAACTATGTAAGTGGACATTTTAATTAAGCATTAGTTGGTTGCAAGGGAAGGGGATTGAAACTTCAGACAAACTATCCCAGATTTCAATCTTGGAGTTGTCACTTTGGGGGGGGGGGGGGTGTTATTAATAACTACCATTTCTGGCTCATTTTGTAAATCAGTACATGACTTTGAAATTGCAAGATTTCAGCAGGTGCGGTTGCCATCCTAGTGGCTATGCCTATAAAAGTTGGTAGATGGGTTTTCCAAACGTTTTCATGTTTTCATTTAGCAAATAATTCTGTTTGAATTAATTAAAACTGACAACTAGTTTGCTAGGCCTATTAACATTTAAACTGTGTTTTTAAACTGGCAATGGTATCTGTTTTTGACATTTTGAGCATCTCACAAGAAAACTATTGAACTAATATGAATTTAAATTGGATTGCTTTCCTCCAAAATCTTCTGGCAAGCATGTAAGCTGTTGAAGAGGAGGTTTATACCTTTTCTTATAACACGGCGATCAGCTTGCTCAAATCCTATATTACTTGTCCACTGTGTGTGGTTTTTTGGAGAGTGATTCTTTGAATGAAAACCCAGATTGGAGAGAGGTTCTGCTAGATACCATGATGGGTATGGTAGGCTGAGATCATGGGCATACAGGTCACTTGACTCATACAAGGTAAGATGCCGTTTGGTTATTGTCCTGCACTCTTGTTTGAAGTTCATTTACAACATTGTTCAATTTCAGTTCTGTAGTTATTATATGGTTTGCCACTTATTTGCAGCATGAGTTGTTACGTGTGCTTTATCCTGTATTCGTCCATTGCTTCATGGATCTTGTGGCAAAAGGGCATCTTCAGGAAGGTATGAAATATTTCTACACACATTTAATGAAATAATAATTATTTTTATTTTCAGATTTTAGAGTTCCTAACGAGGTCATCAATGCTATATATATTTTATGCTTCTCCTTACATGATTCATGATTCCGGATTCTCAGCTCGGAACTTTTTCAATACCTTTCGTGAAGACCATGAAAAGATGCACTCACGAGACCTTCAAAAGTTAGAAGTGGTTATTTCTCCTACTCATTTTGAGGTTTGTTTCCGTCTAAACTATGATATGATATCTCTTTTATGATTCTTGAAGTTGTTAGATCATTAGCATTATATAATCCTCCAATATTGTTCTTACCCAGGAAATGGAGTTCGCTCATTCGCTTAGGCAGAGCAAATTCAACATAAAGATATGTGGGGTAATGTCTTCACTCTCCTGGATTAGTTTGTCGGATATACTATAGTTGAGCCTTTTTTATCTACTCTTCTCAGTTATTCAAGCAAAAGATTTTGTTCATCTAGTTTTAGAATCCACCAGAAGTCCAAAACTATTGTACCCCTTTTTGGGCTTTCTTTTCTGTGTTTAACTAGTATCCCTGCGATTTTATTTTTTTATTAGTAGCAATGATACATTACTTTTTGAAACAATCTTTAGTCATTAGCATTTGATTTGCAGTTAGTTGAAGTTTTTGTGAATGTATGCCTTCTATTGTTTGTTAATCTAATCTGTTGAATTTACTGCATATGCCTGGAACGTTGTAGACTTGTAGTAATATTTCTGTATCATATGTATTATATAATGATGTCACATTCTTTGGTGGATTGCTGAAAGTATTCATCATCTCAGTATTGTTTATTCACATGTTCAAAGGTAGAGCTTTACTATCAATTATGACTTATTAATTGAGGGAAATTTTGAGATATACCATAATTTCCACTCTAGTCTCTGTTATGGTAGGCCATTGCGGTACTTTTCTCTTGCCTTGGTTTGGCTTCCATGAGGCATAAAGGAAGTTACATGCAGATGCAATTGTCTGATCATAATGATATAATTAAACAATATCTGAATCCCATTATTGATCTCTGGAATCAGTTAAATGAATATCCATTATTTGACTGGACCATCATTGTCTTTATTTATAATTTTATATAGAAATTTGTTTTCTTTTTTCAGAATTTTCATCATTGAGGTCATTACATTCTTTGCAAAATAGAGCTATATGTAGAAAATCTGATAGTAGTTAATGTTTTGGGCATTTGACAGTATTCTTATGAGCTTCTGTTGCAACATCTCCACAGTATGCAATCCACCACTATAATTGGTATTATCAATGATCATATTAACTTCCAAGGTGCTTTTCTTTATTTCAAGCTGCATCTTTTGATTTTGTTCATTTGGACTTTTCAGTGTTGCATATAATTTGTTGTTGTTGTCGTTGTTGTTGTTGCCCTGCAGTTACAACTGGACAACCTAGCTCAATTTCTGATGATCCAGAAGCTGTTGCCCTCGCTGGAAGCATCCAGGATGTAGTAAACCAGATAAATCAGAAAGAAATACTTTGGGGGGTGAGTCCTTGAATATATTGACAAAACTAGACAATGTTAGAAATTATCTTGCTCTTTTTGTTTCTAGCAATGCAATCCCAGTTTCTCTTGCAGTCTTGCTTTTGCAAACTTTTTGTTGGAATAGAAAGGGCATTAGTGGCATGAAGAATGCCTGTTGCCTGAAATTTTGAAAGACTTGAAAATTTGCTAATTTTTGTGCATTTCAGTTTTCATGTCTTGGCAAATTTTTCAATTAAGTCCAATGTTGAGATAATCAGACCATGACTTGTGATCAGTCAATTAAATTGACTGACATCTGTTATCATTGTCATGTCATCATTGTACTTGGATTGATGTGTGGAATATGTGGGAGCTATGGCTCCTTCAAAACTTTTAAAACAACAAAACATAACTTTACTTCTTTTCTCATTTATTCATATAATGCATTTGAAGGGAGTGAAGTAGCAACATGTTTAATTTATTAGCAGCCAATGTCACTTACTAACAAAACAAGTTTTAAATGGTGGACTGATTTTTTTTTTGAGTGACCAGTGACTATTGGATATGTATCCATGTTTTCCCCATAAGAATTGGATATGTGCCCAGTATGGGCATGACAACCATTTAAGATTATCCATGCAATTAGCTATATGCTTCCAAATGTTTAAATCCAAATTTACAGCCATTATACTGGTATGGGACAATGGGTTTAATTTTGACTGGTGGTTGTTGAGGAAGAATAAAGATTTGGCAGTTTTGGTAGTATTCAAGGCACAGGCAGCAGTTGCTTCCATGGCCCCTGGTTCAAACAGTTCTTCATTGATTTCTCTAAATGAAATATTTTTCTGATTTAAATGTCATGTTCAATAATGGTCTGGTTTCAATCTCATTAATCTTTCTGCCACAGTTGCTTGAAGATTCTGTAGATGACCACAGAGATAAAGCTGGGGCCTTGCTTTCAGACACAGAAAAGGGAGAAGGGGAAGCCAAGGAAGGGGATAATGATGAGAGTAAGGTACATATGTTCTTGAAGTGCATCTACCACTCTCTATGGTTCATGTGCCATTTGTTTCTCAGAATTTCTGCACCTATAACAAAGTTTTGCATGAGTTTTGTTCGAATGCACTTTTATCACTTTTATACAGCTAACTTGTCTGATTGTCAAAAAGTTTTTAATTGTTTTTTCACTTTTGTTCTGTGCTTGTTTCGCTTTTAGAAAAGGTCAATTGATGGAGGAAAGCAAGGTGGTTCCATAAAAAAGGTAAAAAAGGACAAGGCTGGAAGTGCAACAGGGAAAAATGCAAAACCTGAAGCTAATGCTATATCAGCAACACCTTGCCTGAAACCAGAACTCCCCTTGCTCATAGGGTATTCTCTCATGTCCAATTTTTTGTTTAATAGGCTTTGCATATTCTGTATAGGATGTAGATTAAACCAGAATGAGATAACATTATTTTCATTGGCAAGATATAATTCTGTTCTGTTTAATGGTGTAATGTTTCATTCTTGCAGTTCAACCGAGGTAGAACTGTCTATCCTGGAAGATTTAAGGAATCGTGTACAATTGAATAGCGTTGCCCTGCCTTCTGTTAACTTCTACACATTTGTCAATACACATAGTGGGTAATGCCTTACACTTTGGCAGAACGAGTTTATTTTATATTTGGGTTTCTATTTAGTAATACTTAGTTTTTGGTCAACTACCCCAGTTTAAGCTGTTCATCAATATCGCACGATGGATCGCTAATTGCTGGTGGATTTTCTGACTCATCAGTAAAGGTTCTTTCCCTTCATCCTCCTCTTTCCACCTCTCCCAAAAAAAAAATCATGTTTCCTTTTAGAACTTTATCTTACCAGACAATGTTAACTTGTGACAATTGTGACTGTGATTTGTATCCACAGGTTTGGGATTTAGCAAAACTTGAACAGCCCACCACTTGTAAGTTTATAGTTGAAAAATCATTTGTTTGGAACAAGCTGAGTATGATCATTGCATTCTTTGCTTGAAAAATGTTAATATGATTAGAAACAAGTTTAGCTATGAGTATGATTGTTATTTCTTATGTGCTGCAGTTATATGGCTTATAAAACTCATCCTCTTAAACTCCTTATGTATTTACCCATGCATAATATACAGCTGTATAGCTTACTGATGTATATAAGTAAAGTTTTGACCGATTCCTCTTTTCTTGGTGAGAGTTACTACTATACTGGATTCTGTGCAAGATAATCTAACTCATTCATTGTGCATATTCTTAGTCTTTTGACTTTAATAATCAGTTGAGGAAAAGAATCGGTACAAGAATGTGAAGTGAAGCAATATGGGGGGCACACTATTTGCCACCTAAATAGCCTTTTGTTGGAAATTTTATCCAAAAAAGGTTTAGAGGATTGATCATACCTCTCTCTGTCTTTTTTCTTGGGTTGTGCACTGGATCTTAATTATCATTTGAAAGATTGATGTCATTGTGATTTGTAGGCAATGACTGATCCTTCAATAATGTGATGGTCTTTCATCTTCATCACAATTGCCTGTCTGCATATAAAACTGACTTCTAGAGCTGTAAAACCTTATCTATTGCTAAAACATCATGGTGTTTAACAAAAAATGACTGTTGACTTGAACAAAATCAAAGCTAAGCTTTGCAAAAGTTAAATTGGTTGAAAGAAGTTTGTTAAGTCTTGTGCAATTCAATATGCTCAAATGTGAGTTTCATGGTTTACTTGTTATAATAGTTAAGTTGTTGCTACCATCAGCTTTCTCACAGAGAGGAAATGACACATCACAAAATGAACAAATTCTTGGACCAAATAGTGGGAAAAGGCAGTACACATTGTTTCAAGGTCATTCAGGGCCAGTCTATGCAACCACTTTTAGTCCCACTGGGGATTTTATTCTTTCCTCTTCAGCAGACAAAACAAGTATGTTTATTTGATGCCATTTGAATGTTCTTTTCTAATTGTTTCTTCTTCACTTTTGAGAGTTTTTTTTTTTTTTTTCACATTTATATATTTTGTTCTATTTTAATTTGAGTCTTATTCCGAACCATGAGTTTACATTTTTTGTGCAGTTCGATTATGGAGTACAAAGCTTAATGCCAATCTTGTTTGTTACAAGGCTCACAATTACCCTGTCTGGGATGTTCAGGTAAATCTGTCTTCTGAATTTTTTTAACTTCCATATTTTTGCCTTTTGTGTATGTATTCCAATAACAAACATACAACACACAAAATATTTAAAGGATAATTTTAAATTTGAACATTTAAATGTAAATGATCTGGTGATTCCCTACATTTTTTTAATTGCTGTAACCAAACATAGCATATGCATGTATATGAAAGTTGGTTCTAACCATGCTCCAAATATTTCATTAAGTTTAGATTTTGTATCTTTAGTCTCCTTTTCCTTTCAAGTTTTGTATGGTTGAAATGATGTAGTGTACTATCTTCTTGATCTTCCTTTCTCTTTCTGTAATTTGCTTAATAGTTTTTTGCTGTTCTTATGCTTAGCGTGCAGTGTGCTTCTCTTTGAAATATACACCTTGCATTTTTATCCAATACAATATGAAAAGTATATGACATTGAAATAATGTTATAATCTAATAATACTTGGGAAGATAAACAAATAATTCATTGTCGCATCCATATATCTTCTTTGCTCTTAGATATACTTAGAAGTATGTATCTTTGGGACTTTGTTCTCTCAAGTCTCAACTGCTGCAACTAATGAAGATTTTCTTCTCTATCCAAAGGATATTTTGTTTCTCTCCTTTCCTTTTCTCTTATTCTATTTAGTCTCAACTCTCATGACATTACTGTCTGCATGTACATTCTAGAATGCTACATCATTTATTTATTTATTTTTCTGGTGCAGTTTAGTCCGGCTGGGCATTATTTTGCCAGTTGTTCACATGACAGAACAGCTAGGATTTGGTCCATGAACACTATACAGCCTTTAAGAATAATGGCAGGGCACTTGTCAGATGTCGATGTGAGTTTTAAAGTCAAATATCCTTTTTCTTGTGCTTGTCCTAATTTTCTCCAGATTTTATATCATCCGCTAGTTTATTATAGTTTTATATTTTTTACATATTGATTGCTCAGAAATTCATATACTAGTAGTGTAATCCTGGACACTCCTATTAATTTGTGAAAGAGTGGATTTTTGTAAGTAATACACCTTATCCACAAAATTCAAATAGGGACTATAGTAAAACAGTGAATTTTGTCCGACCAAACTGGTGATTGAATCCTAAACCGTAATTTACAACTAGACTGTGTGGTGGATCTTAGATACCAACACTGTGACTTGTGATCAAGTATATTCTCCAAATTTGCTTCTACACTAGGGTTGTTGCACCTCTCGCTAAACTTAGACTACGTCTTACTTCAACTTAAGCAAAAGTCACAAGCTTTTAAAACCATCTCCGCATCTCTAACTTTCCGTTTTTTCCTCTTTTGATATTTCAATTAAAATTAGCATATACAAAAAGGATGTGTTGTCTCTTGGATTTGCTTAATAAGCTTATCCATGACTGAGGGAAATAGAGATCAGAGTTGACTCTCTATGCAGTCCAATTGTTGGAAAAAAGAGAATGTTTAAACTTGATTCATTTATTTAAACGAGTAGAATATAAGATTTAAATTTGCTTGGTTAAAATTTGAAAGCTTGACTCGTTAATTTATTTGTGATTTATTTTTCTTTGTCAAATTTCTCTTTAAATAAAATTTTGTTTTTTAAAATAAGTAAATAATAATAAAACATAATTTTATATTCAAGATGATGACTTGATATTCTAAAATATAACCCTTGAAAAAATAAATCTTTGATGCTAAAAATGTTGGATTTCTTTGAAAAAATATTATGGTCATTAATTTAAAATATAACATTTGAAAATTAAAATTTGATAAATGTTGTACTATGAAGCACAAACACTTCTTTGGTCTAAAGGGTCGTGATGTCAAACACGTTTCCAACATCACTTCTCGAACACTCAATCAACACATGTTAGACATTTCTGATTAGGTGTTCGATTAAAATTTCATCTCGGACTCTTAGTCAACACTTCAATATAGATGGACACATACAAGTATTATTAAAATAGTTATTTTTTATACTTTTATAAAATTTAACTTAAAATATATTGTAAAATATTGAAACAAAAATGCCTCTTAAATTCTTTTTGTAAGACTCATTATCATAGAAAAAAAAATAAAATTTAGTATATTAGTTTGAGAAGGTGAACATGCCTTGTTTTGAAAGATATACTTTTATCTTCTATAATTTTTTAGTAGAGACTAAAAATGATTTCCAGTTGTTTGATCCAGCTGACAGTCTGCTATGTTATCATTGAAAGCAAATTCCTCTTCCCTTTAACCTTCTGAAAATTCCTCTTCTCACCAAGCATAACTCAATTTTATGTGTACTTAAAAAAATATTCTGTTCATCATGCAATATTTACCTGTGCTGTCTTGTTTAGTGTGTGCAGTGGCATTCCAACTGCAACTACATTGCTACTGGCTCTAGTGACAAAACAGTTCGACTATGGGACGTGCAGAGTGGGGAATGTGTTCGGGTTTTCATTGGGCACAGGAGTATGATTTTGTCTTTGGCAATGTCTCCTGATGGTCGCTATATGGCATCTGGTGATGAAGATGGCACAATCATGATGTGGGACCTCTCTAGTGGCTGTTGTGTCACCCCTTTAATCGGTCACACCTCATGTGTTTGGACACTTGCTTTCAGGTGATCCTCACAACCCCACTCAACATTTCAACTTGATCATAAGGTATTTAAGGTTGCTATCAACTTAACACTGCTGCTGTTCATTATGGTTTGATGTTTCAGTTGTGAAGGTTCTCTTCTAGCATCTGGATCAGCTGATTGCACTGTAAAATTTTGGGATGTAACTACGGGTATAAAAGTTCCAAGGAATGAAGAAAAGTATGTAGTTGGTCTGATATGAAAACATATGACCGTCTTGTCAAGGATTTTTTTCTTGCTTCCATGCTAACAGCGTGTATTTTTTGCCTTCATTATTAGAAGTGGGAATACTAACAGAATCAGATCATTGAAAAGCCTGCCAACCAAATCATCTTCAGTTTACTCTTTGCAGGTAAGTTCTCTAATTCCTTGTTCTTGGTTTCATTTTATCCATTGTTGATCTTAACTTCGTAACGATTAAATAATTATGTAATTCTGTATTATGCACTGGAGCAGTTTTCTCGAAGGAATCTTCTTTATGCAGTTGGAGCTCCTGCAAAGTGTAGTTGATAGAATGTCTACAAATTTCGAAGTGGCAATTCTGACTTGAAGACCCCAAAAAAGCTAACGCTGTGTTATACAGTTTTCTTTTTTATTTGTAAATTTATCTACGGTAAATTGAATTAAAATATTCTGTCAGCAAGTTTTGCTAATCTATGCATTTTTCTTTAAAGGTGCGTAATTTACTGTAAAATTATTAAGAGAAGGGAAGAATATTGTAGCCTTATGCTCGTATTGTGACTTTGTTTAAAGAACTTGCTGAAAAGCCATTGAAAAAAATTGTTCAATGTTTTAGTATATACTCGAGCGTTGAATAGTAATAGATGCAAGCAGATATCGGTTTGCCTTGGATTTTTTTCTTCTGAAATATAGCAGTTTAGAATGACATTGCGTTTAACCGGGAGTTGTGATAAAGTTCAGGTCACCAATGGAAACTATTTAAACCAGTGAAATGTTTTAAGCATACCCAACATCAACTTAGGTTATGTTTGGAAATGTTTGTGAAAAGTTTATAAAAATAGTTTAGAACTGTCAATGTTTGTTTCAGTTTATTTTAAAATACTATTTAATATACCTTAATAGAATAAGCTATTTTTTTTATTAGATATATAAGTCTGTAAAAAAAGTTTATTAAATAAATGTTTAACTTGTTATATTTTTAAATGCATATTTAATGTGAAATAACAGTGACTAAAAATTGAGAATTCTTTTGTTTCACCAAAACATGGATTGTTTAAATGATCTGTTGCAATCAATTGATGTCATTGGATTTTATCAAATAAATGTTCGTTGTTGTAAAGAAATATTATTTTTCATTAAAGTATCTTAAAATACGTAAATCTAATCACTTAAAATCTTAGCAATCAAAATTTACATTTAATTCTTGAAATAATGTTTTAAAAATGCTTGTTAATATTTATCTTACTGTTTTGTTCACAATGATCATAATAATTTCAGAGCAAAAGGTGATATAAATATATGTCCACGTCTCTAAGAAACTTTATCCATATTTTAGTCTAAAAAAGTGCTGAAGTTTTTTTAAAATTATCAGCTAAAATGTTGTGTTTTCGTATAAGATACCCGATATCATCTATCATCCCTTAAGAACAATTATTGCATTCATCGTGGGGTTACATTGGATAGAACAGAGCTTCTACTATACTGCCATATATGTTATGATTGGAGTCATTCTGAAAAGTCGTCACGAAAAAGCACACAAAAACTCACAATTCGTCACCACTCCTTGGCAGTAGTGCCAATGTGTTTCTTTCATCGTACTCTATATTTTGTTTGATAAAAACAAAGGAGCTGAGGTGTGCGCTTTGTGTCAGGTGTCGAGGAAGCGTGTTTGATTAAGGGATACACAATCAACAATATCAGAAAAAGAAAAACAACATAGAATCTCTTGCGTAAAAAGCATACAATAATAATAATATTCATACATTTATATACTATTTTTCTCTCTTTTCTCTTTTTTTTTATTTTTATTATATCATATTTTTATTTTTTTTATCCCTCACAAAGTGTATATACCTAAAGAATGTATATATTATACCCATTTTCCATTGACATATCATACGTAATAAACAGGCCTCGCATGCATCATGCATCGGTTATATGCGTTAGGTATTTTCAGTCCTGTAAGTTACCTCACTGCTGTTCTCATAGAATACCCGATTCATACAGGAGTAAAATCTTCTCTGATAAATTTAAAAAATTTTATATTTAATAAGTTATAATTTATTATTTTATAAATCATTAAATATAAATTAAATGAAAGACTCAATAAAGTGTCAGAGTTTTTAAACTTACATTAATCTTCTTACATTTGTGTAAATTTAAAAACTCTTACAAGTCTTTCATTTAATTTATATCTAACAGTTAATAAAGTAATAAATTATAATTTATTTAATATAAACAAAATAAAAAATTTAAATTAAATATAAAAATTTTTAAACTTATATTAGTATGAAAAAATTTTGCTCCATATATATATATTAACGTTTCAATAAACCTGTTAATTATGTACCATACTTAAAGTTATTTATTGTCACTTTAAAATATTTATTATCACTTCTTATTTTATTTTTTATTAACAATTCTTTTTAATAATTTAATCAACTAATAAAAATTATTTTATTTTAAAAATAATTTAAAAAAGTGCCAATAAACATTTTGAAATGATAATAAACTCAGTTTTCAACCTTTACTAAGAACCAAATATAAACCTCCAATATACAAATATACAACAAAAACTTACCCCCATCAATTATCACTTTCATTTAATTTTATTATTTTCCAATTTCTGTTGATTCATTAATAAGAAATAATTTAGTTTAATTCATAGAAAAATTGGTAATGAAATTAAACAAGGTATTAAAAATTAGCTAATAGCTTGTACCTATTCCCATGATAACAATGACATAGACGTGCAATATACTGCTTCAACATATGAGGAGGGAATTGTTACGATTTTAAGTAACAGCGACATACTCCTCAATCTTCACAAAACAATACCCTCAGACATGTCTTCAGGAGTTGACTTAACCTAAAATTGAGCATTTAATAGACTCAATTATCCCATTCTATCTTAATTTACTTATTATAGCCACCAGCTTTATAAACTTTAAGCATTTGTAGATTCAAGAATAATATAGTGAAGAGTGCACAATTTTTGTCCCATTAAGACAAAATATAGAAGCAAAAGTGGCCAAAACGTACCCATATTTACTACACACCACAATGATATCTTTAATTTCCAGTTAATTTAAATAACATATGGCAAACTATACAATGGAAGATGGTAAGTCGTAAGTATATAGTGCTATTCACATACAAAAACAGGTGAACGTTTATATGTGCCAACCTAAAACAGTTGCCCTTTCTTTAGCATTTATTGCCAACCTCATAACTGTCTTTATCTTCATAAATTACAGGTGAATAGGTCTCAGAAACATAATATTTGCAATGTTGCCAACTCTTCACCCTAAACCAACTTATAGAAGATAATATATAATTAATAATACAAATTATGAACAAATTTGTAAGAAGTCAGAACACAGTACTAATAATTGTGACAGAAAAACTTAATGATAGTTTAAAATAAAACATCCCAGCCCCTCTGTTAAGCCAAATAATATTAAGGGTATGTTTATTCCAAATAAATACATAACGTACATGCCAACAGAAACAATATGACAGCGAGAATTATTAATAACTATGATATGATGTTTTTGATGAATGTAAATGTTATATATCAATGTTGACAATTTGAAATATGAAAAATTGCTTCAATTATTTCTTCTTCTAACAGCTTGATCACAACTTTGGCCCAATTTGAGTAAAATTTTGCAAAAATAATTGTAAAAAAAAAAAAAACCAAGGAATAAAAGAAAAAAATATTTTTTATAAATTTAAATCAACTTATGTACTTTATGTTTTGGACAAGTTAATTGAAAAAGTTTTTAAAAATTAGAAGAGCATATAAGTTGATTTAAAATCATTGAAGAAATATATTCGTTTTACTTACTTATGCTCAATCAAATTTTGGGGGAAGGGGGAGAAGAGTGAATGGGGGTGAGAAACACACTTCTTTTAAATGCCTTAGGAAGTTTGAAATTAAAACCACCTTAGTTATACAGCATTTGATTTGTTCCTAGTCCACCGATGTGGAACTTTATCTCAACAATAACCATTTGCCTTTCTCGAAACAAGTATTCATCCATTCTATTACTAAACTCCAAAATTGTTAACATTTATGCAGGAGAAAAGTATTCAATTAAAAAAAATGCTTAATGGCTAAAAAAATAGCCCAAACATAAAATGAGAAAAAGAATAGTCAAATTAGTATTAAAATCTTATCAGTCATCATTTTTTGAATGCCTTAATGACAAAAATTGGCTGAAAATAATCTACATGATTTGTGTTTCAAAGGTATCATGTGAATTAATCGCTCGATATGATCTCTGAATCTCTGACAAGATTACAAAAGATTTTACACTAAGCCTGTTTCAGGACTCAAACAAAATATAAGTCTCTCTATAGCAGATGCTGAGTAGGTGCTTGAAACAAAACCCAAAATATAACATAATAAAGACCACACCACCAGCCAGACATCCACACTTAAACCAGAAAGAATTGAAAATAACAAAAGTAAATTCTCTCTGTGAAAGAAAATGAATCAATTTAAGAAACAGAATCGCCAAGTGATTGGTTAGAAATATAGAAAACATGTCTCCATAGCAAGAAGCACCAAGTTCGCTCCTGCCATAGTAGTATTAATTATTAAGACAGACTGATATCAATTGTTCATCAGCATCAGCAAAACTTTTAAGAAACTGATCATAACAAAGATATGGGTATACTGTATAGTTTATATACCAGCTGGCATGATAATAAAGTAGGACCACTAGTAAAGCTAAAGATAAAATCACTAGCAAGAGCATACATACAACACTTTTCTGACTCAAGTTCAAGACCAAGTCCTTAGAAAATCCAACAAAAATTTATAAATATTTTATCTCAATATCAAAATAAAATTATCTTGCATAACCAAAATGTAATTGACCTCTTGGTGAAAGTTACATGATTACAAATACAAGTCAACCATTTTCATGTGCAATATCATATATAAATAATGACTTTTATGAAACTTCCATTAAAAATGAAGTCATGCACAAATGAAAAAAATTCCTTTGAATTCACTAGGGCTAAAAGCCATAGAATAAAAAGGTTAACAATAATTTGCTTTCCAAGAAATAACTTCTTTGGTTGTGGACTCAGTTATGTTTCATTTCTCTTCTTTAGAGTCCTTCTATGATGCCAAAAGGTTAATATGAACCTACTGATTGATTGTACATCAACATTTAATATAGCCTCCTCTCCATCATTTGAGTCAGATATACCTCATCTCTTCACCACCCTAAACAGAGGTAGTTTGAATTTGCCAAACTTTTACCTAATGATTGCCTTGCTAAGGTTTAAAATTGTGTGGACCGCATCACATCATGTCATTGCAAACTTGTAGGGCCCATTTAATAAATAGGATAAAATATAAAAGATAGGATATGAAAGTTGGATAAGAATATAATAGGGATAAAAATAAGATTGTCTTTTAACTTAAGGTTATATTTGATACATAACAAAATAACAAATTAGATAAATTATATTATTTTATCCTATCTATTTCTAACCTAGACTTTCTATAGGATAAAATTTACATTAGAGAGAGTAGGATGACATAAGTTTATACGATAAAGTCCCATTTCTAGGCTTCAAATATATATAGTACACAGTCACTCTAGATTAGTTAACTTTTTTCACATTAGCTTTCAGTTGCTTCAAAATT